ATAAACTACAGGTCAAATCCAACCTACCTCCTATGTTTATGTACAGGTGACCCTTGAACAACATGGGTTTGAACTGCGCTAATCCACTTACACATAAATTTTTTTCAATACATACGGTACTGTCAATGTACTTTTTCTTCCTTAAAATTTTCTTAATAAGTTTCTTTTTTCTTTCAATATTGTAAGAATGTAGTAAATTGTAAGAATGTAGTCTATAATACATATAAATCTACAAAAAATGTGTTAACAGACTGTTCCTGGTAATGCTTCTACTCAACAATAGGTCATCAATAGTTAAGTTCGGTATGAGTCAAAAGTCATACATGGATTTTTCCTGCACAGGGGACTGGTGCCCCTAACCCACACACTGTTCTAGGGTCAACTGTTTAAGGTTTTACTGGAACACAGTCACACTCACTTGCTTATATATTGCTATGGCTTTTACACTACAAGAACAGAACTCAATCATTGTACCAGATGTGGACCACAAAATCTAAAATATTTACTAACTGGTCCTTTACCAAAAAAAAGAAAAAAAGCTTACCAACCCCTCCTCTACACAATGAGATGTGAGAGCAACTCACGACTTCTCCAAGAACCGTTTCTAAAGTACACAAGTTGAGCTGCTGCCAGCCTAGGTGTAGGCTTTCAGGTCATGAGTACTAAAACACAAATGCACACCCAAGGGTCTTTAATTATCCCATATCAATCCCAAAGTTGCCAAGGCAAAGCACATGAGGTCAACACTCCCTCCTACCAGAGTCCTACCTTTCCCCCATCTTTGCTAGTAAATCATGTCAACCCAAAAAGGCTGCCCTTTAAGTTCATCTAAACATGGTTTTACCTGCATAAAAAATGTTGTGGAAAGTAGAGGCTGGAGAAGGCACCTGTATGGCATATATTCTAGTCCCTGTATCCTCATCCTAGAATCACCTAAGATCTAGCTCCCTGTATTAAACCCTTAAGAAGAGGCCAAAGAAGCTAGTAGGAAGGTGGTGAATTGAACTAAGGAACACAAAATGTGTGGAGATAGAAGTGCATGTGTGTGTGTGTGTGTGCGCGCGCGTGTGCGTGTGTGTGTGTGTACCCTATCTCACAATCCTTATCTTTGTCAGTCAACACTAAATGCTAGTTCCATTAGCTGCAGGTTTCACCACAAAAAAAGTCTTACGGTGTCTCATGCTTCAAAGACAGCTGAATTTTTTTAAATGCCAAGTCGTTTTTTGTTTATTTTTTAATAAAAAGGCTTTAAAAAAAAAAAGGCATTTTCAGCACTGCTGTGCCAACACAGGAATATCCCCCTCCATTGTATGGGACACAAAGACACACATCAACTGCAAGCAGGGGAAGCGGGCTTCTCTGCCAGCTATTTTTAGCCCCACTTCATCATGTTAAAGACCAAACTCAGTATAATAATGAAGGGCAAACTTTAAAAACACAAATTTTTATAAAAACAAATCTGTGCTTTCATGTATAGTTTCCTTTACTGTGAAATCCTATATATTCTTTGAAACTTAATCTCAAGGGACCTATATACTCTACAAAAAACTTGTTAGCTCTTTCAAAAATATAGACTCACGTGTCCTAAGACTGAACATGGTAGCCATATTTAAAAGCTGTTCCTCCCTGTTGACTTCAAGTCTTACCTACTTTTAAAACATTTTCTTAGGTACAGTCTCATCCATTCTCTGTCATTACTACATCTTTACTAACTTTAACAGATTTCCTTCCCCCCCGCCCAAGTAAAAATACACATTTCTCATCTCTTTACTCTGTCAGCTCTCTCAAGAAAACTTAATACTGTGAAAATGACTCCTAACTCTACATTTTCAGCATTTCACTCATTAGTTTAACTATTTTTCTATCTTCAGATTGCATCAGCATCAACTTTCACCCTAAAATTTAATGTCCAAAACAAAGTCCACTGCCTTATTTCTGATTTATTTTCTATAAAAAACCACTAGCACCCAACTAAAATACTGGGGGCATCTTCTTTTTCACTCTTGCAACTGTATAGCTCTTTGATGACCATGGTATAAAAATGCTGGTTCTCTTAGGGATGCCTGGGTGGCTCAGTCGGTCAAGCGTCTGACTTTGGCTCAGGTCATGATCTCATGGGTTATGGGTTTGAGCCCCATGATGGGCTCTGTGCTGAAAGCTCAGAGCCTGGAACCTGCTTCACATTCTGTGTGTGTGTCTCCCTTCCTCCCTCCCTCCCTCCCTCCCTCCCTCTCTCTTTCTCTCTCTGCCCCTCCCCCATTCATGTGCATGTGCTCTAACTCTCTCTCAAAAATAAATAAACATCAAAAAAATTTTTTTTAATGTTGGTTTCCTAGAAAAACAAAATCCTACTCCAGGTATAATGCCTCTTGACCTAAAATACAATTTCTCCTCAATCATCTAAAACTACCTTCTCGGGAACATTGCTCTCAATTGCTTCTTTGGGCTATACTCCTATAACTGCACAAACACAAACTGACCCTAAGCTGACTCAACAACCAATCTCCATCTGTATTCCCATCAAGCTGACTTCCTAATTATACTTGTCTCTCACACCATCCAATTCCAAAAGCCTTAAACACTTTACCTCCACTGCTCCTTTCATCCTAAAAGAGAACTTCTTTCCCAGATTTGGCTCAGACACTCCAATTAGTTTTGTATAGTCACTTCTCTAATGAAAAATATTCAAATACATTTATATCTAAAGGTACCAAACATAGTAGTATAATATATAGTGGCTATAAACAAACACTGGTTCATGCTCCCTTTCCTATGATTTTATGCAACTTGTGTTTCATTGCCTCTGCCATAAATAAAAGCATCTCAAAGGCAGGGACCCCAAATGGACCCCAAACACTTTACTGCTTCTTTGCAATAAAACATTACCATGCTTTTTAACCAATCTATAGTCAGAGCAATAAAAATAAGTCTTAAAGTTAGTAAGCAACTCTGATAGAGTACAAATCTACCTTCAAATTATAGTTTGTTGGTTTGTCTCCCCCTCCTGCCCCAAAAAAACAGCCAATGCCAAGACTAGAGTTCTCTTCTTCCCATCTTTGTGAAACATGGGATACGTAACTTCCTCTAGGTCTCAAAACAAGATAACAAACAGGTCCAGAGACATTTGCTTCTGATTCCACATCTAACATTATATCCACTAATCAGTATTTTCATGTCAGTACCCATTTAAAATAGACAGAACCTAAGGTTCCTTTAAAAAGCATAACAAACACAAATATAAAGAGAAACAAAATAGCTGGAGAAGTTCCTGAGGAGGGCAAAGTGATCAAGGAATAGAAAGATATCATTCTAAGACAGACACACAAAGTCAGGAAAGATGACGGTAAAGAGGAACAATGAAAATCTATAAAACCAAGAAAAGATGAACTCCAGCTTGTTCTAGCACTTCTCAGAACAAGAACTCTGGATGTGTCTTACAACTTTAGAGAGACAGGTTTGGGATAAATAAATGAACTGTTAAATAATTTAGGGTCTAATAAGCTTCTAGAACTCATTACCTCAAGGAGAAAAAGTACAGATGCAAACACTATTTGAGAAAGTTTTAAACACATTTAGTCAAGATCCTGAATGACGAAGTTAGCACAGATAACCCGAGGCTCACGTTCATTCCCAAAAAGCTTCTCTCAGCAGTGGCTTCAGAGGGCGTGAGTCCACACTGCTGTCTGGAGGAACCACAATTCTCAGTATAGTGCTGCCAATGTTCTATTAAATAAAATTCTACCCTGTACTGAATCCTTAAGGTCTGTAGAAGTATATGAAATGCTCATTACTTTCCCGCATGTCAACTTGACACTAGAGAGGATACCTAAGATACAAATCAAAGATTTTTACAGACTTCACCTTCACAATAATGGAAGGGAAGGGAAATAATCATTCTTCAAAGAGTTTAATACCAAAAAGTTTCTCAGGGGCACCTGGGTGGCTCAGCTGGTTAAGCAACTGACTCTGATTTCGGCTTGGGTCATGATGTCACGGTTGGTGAGATCAAGACCTGTGTCCTGCTCTGCATGACAGTGTGAAGCCTGCTTGGGATTCCCCCCCCCCCCTCTCTCTCTCTCTCTCTCTCTGGCCCTCCCCCACTTGAGCAGACACGGATCTCTCTCCCAAAATAAGTAAAAACAAACTTAAAGAAGTTTCCCCTCATTTGAAAAAAAAAGTTTCTCCTCATTTGATAGGGAAGTAAAGATAACTCAAACAAGCAAGTCTCAAGTCATTCTGCCAAGTACAAAAACAAAAACAAAAACAAAAAAAAAATGCCAGCAATTAGGACATATGCTACCCAAACATTAAAAAAAAAAAAAAAAAAGCATTTCGGTAAGGAAAAAATGTAACAACTTTTAAAAACTGGTTAAAGTACTAGATGCTCTCCTCCAAGTAAGCTGTGATTCATAAGAACTCAGAAATTTCCTGAGTAACTGAACTCTGTCACAGTGTCCTGATGCACAGGAACTGGACCCAAGAAACGAGGAGGTAAAAAAATTCCTGCACCAGCAGGTACCGAAATGAAAATCTCTGGAGGAAAACTGCAAAAGAAGAAAGGAATTTTACTTTCAGGGGTTCGCAGGATAAAAGGTTCCCTCGTGGGAGCCCAAATAAGAGTTGCCCCGAAACAAAAACCACAGCGGGGTTTCACACCCGCTGTACCAGGAAAAGGTGTATTACAGAGATGTCCTTTGTGTGCACATATGCTTTGGCTTCCTCAATTTCCCTTTGCCAATTACTGGCCAGAAAGGTGCAAGTGTCCACACTGGATAGGGGCAGAACTCCCCTACGGGAACCTGTGAGCTTGCCTAGTCCACGTACTAAATGTTCGAAACCAGTGGACGATCCAAGACCCTCCTCCTCGCTGTAAACATAAAGATACACCCTCTGATCCACGCTCTCCCAACACTCCGGTCAAACATCAGCCAAACTCCAGGAGAGCGAACCGGTATCCTCCCACGTTCCACCCCTCCGTTCCCTTTCCCGGGGCCACTCACACTTTAGGGAAGAGCCGTGGCGCTGAGAAAGTGGGCTGGTTCCCTTCCTCGTTCGCTCTGAAGCGGCAGCTGCGGAAGGCTCGGCGCGTTACTGAGGAAGAAGCGGTGCTTGTGTCTCTAAGCCAGGCGGTCACCCGGGTCTCTTCCGCGCTGCCGGAGCAGAGGAGGCGGCAGCGGCCCCGCTTACCTCCGCTTTTCCTCTTCCTGGGTCCCTTCAGGCTGTGTCCGCTGCCCGTCCTGGGCCACTTCTCCCGGGACAGTCACGTTTGGGAGGCTCCAGATTTTGCTTTTATAAAGTTTTCCTCTGGGCTGAGGCTGCGGCCGGCCCCCCGGGTCCCCCCCGGCCCCGCCGCCCTCGGGGCTGGGGCGGGGGAGGGGGCTCTAAGAACTCCTCCCGGAGTCCTGCCGAGGAGCCGGGGGGCCGGCGACAGGCCGAGGGAAAAGACCCCCCCCCCCTCGCGAGGGGGCTGAGGAGAGGGGGAAGGTAAGGAAAGGACGGTGGCGCCGGTCCTGCTCTCCCCGCCGCCGGGGCCGCCGCTTCACATTGGGGTCCCCGCCCCCCCGGCCGGGGGGTGGTTGCTGAGCGTGGGTCCCGGGTTCATACACTCTGGGGGCAAGATGCTATGGCCCCGGGCGGGTGGCCGAGGCGGCGGCGAGGTGGGGGACCCGGCCGGCTCCGCTCGGCGCCGCCCCCGCTCCCGGCTCCCGCATGTGTCGCTGCGGCTGGGACCCCCTCCCTACACGTTGGGGGTCCCTCGCCCCGCGCCCCGGGACGAGACAGAAGCTCCGACCCCCTCCTCAGCGTCTTCTCACCGCGGAGCAGCTGACTAGTCCCGGCCTGAGGTAGCCGCCTCCCAGCCCCCCCAGCCGCCGGCTCCGGCTCGGGCTCCGGCGTGTGCAGCCGCCGCTGCCGGCCGGGAAGGTGAGGGGGGGAAAAGAGGGGTGGCCCCGACTCCCGCCGGTCCAGGTCAGGACGAAGGTCTCGGCCGTGGCCAGTGCGCGGAGGCTGGGTCTCTCAGATGCTCCCTCGCTCTCACGCTCTCCGCTGCGGTGGCGGTAGCGCCCGGAGCTCAGCTCGCTGTCTCGCTCGCTCTGTGCGGGGCTCTCGCCTCACTCCAGAGAGGGGCGGGAGGAAAGCGGCGCGGCCCGATGACGCAAGTCACCTAGCAACAGCTCCCCTCACCCCCTCCCTTTTCTTTCCGCCGGGACGTTTCCTCCGCTGGCCTTTTTTTTTTTTTTTTTTTCCCCCTTTCTAATCACCCCGCCCTGGCTGACTCCAGCGCGCTCTGATGACGCTGCAAGGGAAGAGGAAGTCTGGGCTCCGCGAGCGGGTGGGTGCGCCTCGGGCCGCGGGACTAGCAGCCGCTGCCGCCGCCTCTACGGCCGCGTCAGAATTGAAGAGAGGAAGGGGAGGAGCCGAGTGGAGCCTAAGCTGCCGCCTGATCTTACCCCTGACCCGACTGCGGCGGGGAGAGCTTGCTCTGTAGAGGTTTCCTTCAGGGCAGGTGGTGACGGCTCCTTTGGGAGCAAGGAGGAAGGCCCAGGCCGCACGGCCATGCTCGGGCGCGCACCCCCCGAAGGTGAGGCATATCGCCCCAAATGGGCCTTCGAAAAGCCAGACTGGGAGAGAACTTGGCCGACGTCCGTTCCGCTGCACCTGCTCCAGGGAGCGAGCGTCCCACCCTTCCCGTGGCTTGGGGCGAGACCTAGCACCCGATAACGTGTGGCCCGGCCGAGCAAATGTTTGATGAATGAATGCCTCCCTCCGAGGTACCCGCGGAGTTCAGAGGAGTTGATGGAAGTGTAAGCGTTTTGTAAGCTGCGGGGCATTCATTGTAAAGAAGAGTGGTAATACAGCCCTCCCCCCGCCCCCCCCCCCCGCCACGAAAGGAAATAGGGGTGCGGTTTGGGTACGGTGTCACAACTTGTGTCTTTAGTGTAAAGGGGGGCGAATTGCCGACGCGAGGGAAGGGAGCCATCCTCCCGGAGATTACGGAACGATATTTGACTTTATTGTCTCACTTTTAGTACTCATTCTTGCTTGTATAAAGCTGTGGAGAGCTGATCTTGGTTGTTCATAAGTGTCCATCTGTAACCATAGTCAAGAAATGTTGGCCTGTGTTTCAGGTCTGACTCAAAAGCTATCTCCTCTCTAAATTAAGTATTAGTACGATTATGCAGCTTTTCCTACAGATGTTATCCTGGAAAGTAAGTTCAAATAAAAACTCATGAAGTTGAAAGTGTAGTTCTCTAGGAAAAGAAATGTTTTAAGATGAAAGGACCAGAATCCTCAGAATCTGTCTTGCACCTGTCCGGGGGAATAGCGTGAGACGGAGATGAAAGTGGCAGCAATGATGAAAGGAAGCAGATTCTAGAGTTCTGTCACCGGACCCTGGCACACCCTACCTGCTTGGGAAGCAGCATTAGTGGATATTACAAGTCTTTCCACTTCAGGGAATAAGGAGCAAGTTTTTATAGGCAAATTCTGGAAGCTCGGGGTTTCTACCACCACCATAGGCAAACAGTATACCAAGGAAACTTCTAACTGGGTGAATCCAAGGGCTCATTTTTATTAAAATGCTGCAGAAAGATCAATGGAAGTGGGGAAGCGGATGTTGCAGAAGCAAGAAGAGACTCACAAAGTGGCACTCGCCCAACTGTCCGAAGTTCCAAGAGCCAGGCTAACTATCCTGCTTAAGCTAGCATGGATTTGACTGCCTTGTCATGACCAATGCCCTGCCATGTCCTTCCAAATAAGACTCACAGGGAATGTGACCAGCAAGTTATAGCCCCACCTGGTTACAAAATAAATCTTTATTTGGTTTTTCCCCCTTCCTAATTTCCTGCTGGAAATTGAATGAGTAAAATCTGCCGATTTAGGAGATTTTGTGAAGCCTGAGCACCTCAGATTTTAAGTTCTGTGGGCTTTGGATAAAGAGCGCAAACATCAGAGCTCTGCAACGCAGCCGAGGACGCCTCCAGAAAAGTATGTACTGTACCACATGGGGTTTGTCAGCAGCCTGATCTGTTTTCATTGTCAGTGGCTCCACCTTAGAACCTCAGTAGTGAGAAACAGAATAGCACTCAGGAGAGCCCTCATCCACCTACTTATGGAGTAACAGCAGCACTAAGCTCGCTGGGCAAAATCCACCCACCTCACCACCCAGCGTGATAACTGGAGGAAACAGCTGGAACTGGCCACTGGAGAGGAGGAAGTTCATACATTTTCAACTTAGTCTGCATCTCTTTATTTCTTTTACGTCTTCTTAATCCACAGGAGAAAACAGCTAGTCTGTTCAAAATTCCAAAAAATCTGAAATTTCAGGTAACAGTACTTTTCCCTGCTTCATCAGTTTGTGTGTGATAGAGATCTACGTACTATGTTAAAATATAACAAAGGGTTATTTGTAGGGTTCTTTTCTCCTGCACTTGAGAAGTGAGTTCTTATGATAAACAATTTAATCAGTGTTTTATTATCCCACGTCAGTGGTTTTTACTGTCAAGATTTCATAAGCTAAAACATCTGGTAAAGTTTCTAGAAATGCCATCTAAAGTCTTCAATTACTTTTAGCATGTTTATTGTGAAATATACGTTTAAATGCATAAAGCAGTTATTCAGTATAATGAGTAGTTCTAAAAGAAACCTGCCTGTGACCAACCAGGTCAAGAAATGGAACATTGCCAGCATCCTAGAAGCCCCCCTGGTGACCTTCCTGAGCACAACTCTTTCCCTCTCTTTTAGAGGTAGCCATTATTCTAACTTGTTGTGATAATCATTTCCTTGCTTTTCTCTATTGTTTTTTCACAAGCGTACATCCCTAAACAGTATATTGTTTAGTTTTGCCCTTTCTTTTGAACTTTATTAAATGGAATAACATAATATGTAACCTGTTTGCTTGCTGCTTTCTCACAATGTCGTTTGGAAGCCATATGTTGTTCAGGTTGTTCATATAGTTGTGATTTGTTCATTTTAATTGCTGCATATTACCATGTTGCATCGTAGCAATATGCCATAATTTATTTAGCCATTTTATTGTTTATGGACATCTGGATCGTTTCCAGTTTGGAACTGTTAAAAACGCTGCTGTGAACATTCTCCGTGTGTGTATTTATCACATTTATACAAGTTTCTGTATGATATATACCTGGGGGCTGCTTCTAGAGTGTTATACTCATGCCAGCCACGTACGTGAGTCCCATTGCTCCACACCCTCAGCCACACTCAGCACTGCCAGTCCTTTGGCCAGTCCAGTGGGTGTGCAGTAGGATGTCATTGTGGTTTGAGTTTACATTTCTGTGAGTACTGATGCTATTGAGTTCCTTTTCATATATCCAGTAGCCATTTGGATTTCCTCTTGTGAAGTGTGTAAGTGACTTTTTCATGCCCAGTATCTGAGATGCCTGATTTTCCAATATCCTTTTATAGTCCACATTTGAACAATTTATTTCAGGTAAGGCAATGCTACCTAATGAATTATATTTGGGATGACTCTTTCCAAAATATAGCTTACCTAATTATCTTTTATGAATTTGATTATAAACTTCTTAAAAACAGGATGAAACTATTTTTTACTTTATTTTTTACCCTCCAAAATAATGCCATGCTTTCAACTATTATTGCTGGAATTTCTTGTGGTGGTTTTGGGTTTTGTTGTTAGTTTCCCTCAAGTATGTAAAGGCAAATTTTATTCTCTTGAATCTATGTAACTGAATTCTGTCCTTTGTTACTTTGTATGTTATAGGCAACTATGTAACAAAGTGTTTCCCCTACACACTTCTTTTTTTCATTTCCCAGTTTCATTCATTTCATAAGCCACAGTGACTTTTTCTTTCCTTCTGAAGTCCCTGCTAAAATACATGGTTTGTTGGGTTTATTTGTTTTCTAATTTTACTCAGTAATATTGAATACATACCATACATGTCTCTCCTGGCAAATTTTCCCAACATATTCTCTTTGGTTGTCTTTATCATTTTCATATCTGTCAGTTCTTTGTGTTGAATCCGTGATATTTTATTTTTTATTAATGTTTTTATTCATTTATCTTGTGAGAAGTAGAAAGTGCATGTGAGTGGAAAGGGGGCAGAGAGAGAGAGGGAGAGAGAATCCCTAGCAGGCTCCACACTTTCAGCGAGAATCCCGATACAGGGTTTGATCCCATAAACCATGAGATCATGACCTGAGCTAAAATCAAGAATCCCACGCTTGGGGTGCCTGAGTGGCTCAGTCATTTAAGCATCTGAGTTCTTCTCAGATCATGATCTCACATCTCATGAGTTCAGGCCCCACGTCAGGCTCTGCTGACAGCTCAGAACCTGGAGCCTGCTTTGGATTCTGTGTTTCCCTCTCTCTCTGATCCTCCCCTACTTGCACACACTCTCTCTCTCTCTCTCTCTGTCTCTCTCTCTCTCAAAAATAAATAAACATTAAAAAATTAATTAAAAAAAAAAGAATCAGATGCTCAACTGACTGAGCCACCCACACACCCCCAAATCAGCAATACTTTAAAGCTGGAGGAAGATGAGACCCAGAGAAATTAAGTATTTTACCTAGAGTCAAAAGGGCAAGTAAATAGGATGCCTGGACTCCACCCCAAGTCTCCTAATAAGTATTCTTGCCATTATATCCCACTGACTCAGTCTTCTGGAGCAGTAAGATAAATTAATTCCAATGGTCTGTAGAATATTGTTCACTTCCATATGGCAAACTTCTTTTTCTGTCATTGAATAAGATTATTTTATTTTAAGTCTGACAGCTTTAGAATCAGATTAAGGTTGATATAAATAAAAATAAATAAATACAATTTTAAAGATTATTATAAATAAATTCTATAAAGGGATTGCATGGAAACTTGTTTTTTAAAAAAATAAGGTTTCTCAGGAGTGCCTGGGTGGCTCAGTCAGTTGGGTGGCCAACTCATGATTTCAGCTCAGGTCATGATCTCACAGTTGTGGGATCAAGCCCCACGTGGGGCTCTGTGCTAAGCGTGGAGCCTGCTTAAGATTCTCTCTCTCCCTCTCTCTGCCCCTCCCCCCCTCAAAAAAAAAAGAAGAAGGTTTCTCCACTCTTTCCTTCACTAAACCTTATCACCTCTTCAGAGAACCACCATACTTTCTCAGTATCCAAGAAAAAAAT